CAGTAGTCTTTGAAGATGCCCAAATGACTCCAGTGGGCAGCAAGTTTGGGAACCACTGTGTAAAGCATGTCAGAAGTTTCCAAGAAGATATTTAAGAATATGAAGGTTTGGTTACATATTAAAATAAATGGTCCCCCGATACCTGACTTGAATTTCCGCTCCTTTCATATTCACTGCCTTCTTTCCAAGAAATCTGTTGGAGACACCACATAAACTTGCTGTAACAAATGGCCTCTTAAGTCAAACTGTAAGAAGAAAGGGGAAAAGGACTGAATCTTTCCGCTCATTACACTGGGACTCAATTTTACCTTCCCAGTGAATCTTACTGTACTGTTGAGAGGATTTTAAAAATGTTCCTCAATTGCATCTTCTCAAGCATTATAACCTACTTTTCAGCCTACATCTTCTCTTGGGACTTCCTCTTTTCAATGAAAACCATTGTTTATAAGCCATGGTCAGAGAAACATTAATGTAATGAGTAAAGGCAGCCTTATCAGACAAGATAACCAGTTTTCCCCCCAAAGATGCCATTTTTATCACATTAAGGGTTGTGTGCTCAAAGTGAGCTCAAGAAGTCACATGTATTGGCCTCATACATCAAGTTCTCTTTCTCATCAAGTCAATTTTCTGTTTCATTCTTATACTCCAAGAATCACAACTTCAGTTAATGGCCCCATGGAGACAAATAGGATAGGAAAGATTGAGCTGCCTTTGTTTATTTATTTTTATTGATTTATTTATTTTATTTTTTAATTTTTATTTATGTATTTATATATTTATGTATTTATTTATTTAGGTACATGCCCCTAGAGGGAACGGAACCCAGGAACCTCTGGTCCGCAATCCGACACTCCAACCGCTGAGCCAAACTGGCCAAGGTTTTTATTTATTTTTTTAATGTTTTATTGATTATTTAGAGAGAGCAAGGGAGAGAGAGAGAAGAAAGATAGAAATAGCTATGTGAGAGAAACCTTAATCAGCTGCCCCCTGCACACCCCCACTGGGGATCAGCCTGCAACCTGGGCATGTGCCCTGACCGGGAATTGAACCAGGATCTCTAAGTTCATGGAATGGCACTCAATCTGCTGAGCCACAGGGACAATGTGGATTGAGCCATCTTTAATATTTGTTTTTGTTTCCAAGAAATCTATTTGGGTAAGATAAAATAGGCATGTATGGTAGTGAAGGTATGTAAATGCATTTTATGAGAGAAAAGAACAATTCTTTTACTGGTAAGCAAAACAGAAGAGTGGTAAGTCATTTTGTTTAAGACAGAGGTTCTTCTGGAGGTAAGTGTCCACAGACCACGCACTAAATTCAGTTAAGGACAACCAATAAAACTCAAGCTGAGCACAAAGATTACGTCTCACCCAATGATGTCAAGTTTCCATGCAGCAGCATCTGGAGGTTGAACAGTCCAGATGACTTAAATAGAAGTCTCAGAGGTAAGAAACCATACTTAGCTCTGGCTCTTTGTGAACACAGCTTATTGCTGGATCAATTCACTCTGCTTCTATCTCACAGTTCTATAGTCCCAACCAAGTACCTTCATTAGTTCTCACAAGGCATGAAGCGCTTTTCCCACCAATGGCCTTTTTTCTGGCCAGTCCTGCTGCCTTCCGTGTGGTTCCCCTGATCTCTTACCTGCTGCCTCCCTCTCAGATGTCAGGTTTCCATTCAAATAATATCCCTCCCGACCTCCTTATTCCACAATAAGTCTCTGACTTGCTATTCTAACGCTTAATATCTAATAGATATCTATTTGTGAACCTAATAAATGCTTCCTCTAAAAAATTAATAAATATTCTCTCCAGCTAAAAAAGTAGATACTACACTATTCCTTAAGAGAATTTTAGTGACTAATAAATTTTAGTTGACAATAGTTTTAGTTAAACTCACACACACCCATATGATCATAAACCACTAACAATGAAGTGATTGGCTAAAGCCATTCAGGATCAGAGGCTAATGCCCATTGCTCAGGTAGCATTTCAAGCAGGTGACACTCTGAGCAACTTGTGACCCAGACCTGTTTCACAGGCGTTCCCTCCTCTGAACACTTACCTGCATCTGTTATCTGTCCCATTCATCCATTCAGTAGGCACCTCAGGTTGCTTTGTGAATCAAAGCAACCTCTTGAAATAGATATTAAGCTCTGGAAAAGCTTAAGGATCACTCTTTTAACAATAACAGTGGACACTATTGATTATTTTTTATGTGCCAGTCATAATGCTATGCGCTTTTCTGTATTAATAATACATGTAACGGAGCCACGATTCAAACTCAAGCAGAATGGCCTCAGAGCCTGGCACACTCTTCCCTTAAATCTTGATATGACACTTCCCAGCACTTTGCATGGCCTTTGGCAAGTTGTCTCAATTTCTTTATCTGTAAAATGGGCCCCACATAGTATCTACCTCAGAGAGTTGTTGTGAAGATCAAAGAAAGCTGATACCTGTAAAATGCTTAGAAGGTGGCTGACAACACAATGGGTACTAATTAAAGGTTAATTGTTGTTTTTCTAGTTTATAGGAAAGTTCCCAGTCCAGGGAAATCCCTCAGTCCCTGTTTTGCATGGAAAGTCCCATGTCTTTGTCAAAAGTTCAAAATAGGTCCAGAGGGCAGGCCTAGGACATGGGTGGTCGGCTGCTGTCCTGTGGTCACTCTTCACTGCCACTTTCAGAGCCCACCTCAAAATTCACCTTTATGCCTTGTAATTGCCCCCCCCCCAATATATTTACTAAACGACTCCTTAGTCAACAGGTTGTACTGCAGAAAGTGTTACATTTTTTCGTATAAACATTCTTCTACGTAGACTATTGCCCTGTTTTCCCAGTTGCTGTTAAGGTCTTTAATCATCCCCTAAGAGCAATCAAGGCTGAAACACCTGACTACCTGAGTGAAACCAGAGCACCTAGTGCCCCTGTTGTCTTTTCCTAGGAAAGGCAATCACATATGAAAAGCTTCGTTTATTGACTATGAGTTCCTGCTTATGGACGTCTAAATAGAATTTGTTATAAATATCCTAAATTTGACATTAGATTCATGTTTCATCTTTTCTTAAATTCACCTCTTTGAATTTCAATCCTTTGTTTTGCCTTTGCAAAACAGACTTTTACTTAATTATACTTTTCTCGTTTATATTTGCTTTCCTTGAATTTGCAATATTAGTACCTGTGACTCTATCGTCACTAGGAATTACAGATTTCACATGTTACAGCTACCTCAAACTATGTTTTATGTGCAGCACTCTTTGGAAATTGTGGTAATTATTAAACCCACTCCTCGATCTTGTCATTTAATAAAGAAGCACATCTATTATTATCATCACAGATTTAAATGTTTAATAATGTGACAACTGTTTTTCAATAAAAGTGGTTTCCTTGGAATCCTTTGTATTTTATCTTGTGCATTTCTCCAGACTGCCAAAGGGTTTGATGGTACATGGAAGTTAGTGTCTCTGCTGTGGATCATGAATAGAAAACGTTACAAATAGATAGAGGTCAGTAGGTTTGCTGTTCCCTTGCCTGGTCCTCTAATCTTACAATTAGCTGGAGTAGGTGGCAGCTGGTGACGTGTGAGTTGAGAGGCCAGTGGCTCCTTTGCCCAAGGACTTTTCTGTTCCCATTTGTCCAAGAGTATGGAATTTCCATAATATGCAATAAGTTATTTTTTTATGTTTAAGTGAAAATACCTTGAGTGGGAATACCACGAGGTTGCTTTGACCTTTGAATACCTTTCTGACAAGAGTGGAAGGGATCTCAGAGAGCATCTAGTCTGAGCAGCATCATAAATTCAGGCACTGAGGTTCAGGGGTAGTTATGTTCCAGGGTTCACATCAGCTAACGATAATGCTGCATTCCAAGAGAGTTTTGATTTTGTTCTGAATAGTGAAAGTGTCCTGGCAGTCTGAAGAATGGGGGTGGTGGGTGGGAGAAGAGAGAGAGAGAGGATGGGAAGCAAAGGGGATGGAAAGGAGCTCTGGGAGAACTCAGCCATACTCAGGACACCACTTCCTCCAATTCACACCCAGTGCCTGCCATCGACTCTCCTGGAATCTTTAGGGGCCTGAACTCCTTGGAACCAAATTAGATTTTTCATAAATTAGTCCCATTACTTCTCAGAAGTACTCTTAAATGCATGGAACAAATTCAGCAAACTTCACAAGATTCAATGTGTATTTTTAGCCTTTTTTTTTCCTCCAAAAAAGCAATTCTGCTATTATTTCCAGTCCCACAGCCCCCCCAGAGCCACTTGATGACTTCTAGATGACCTCCTTAGACATGTATCTGAAGGGCTCTTAGGTAAGCAAGGGGCCTAGAAGGAACACTGGAGTGAGAAGTTGTTAGGAGGAGGTATAATTCCAGTCAAGTTAAGATTCTTTCTGGGAATGGATTATCCAAGGGCTAGACAGATGTAAAGTGCCATTCAATTCTGGCGCTCTGTGCCTTTCCCTTCAGATCCTTAAACCCAGCTAATCTCGGGCTTGGATTATGAAACTAGGATCCTGATCTCCCTGCCACATCTGCCTGACCGCGCAGTGTGTGTAATGAAGGGTGCTTGGGCTTTGAAACCTGACAAATGTGGGCTCCAACCTTTGCATCCCGGGGAGACGTTAGCTCCCTCCACTGAACACGGAAACAATCTGCTGGAGGGAATGTAAACGCCGTGGGTTGCTGCAGACACAAACGTCCCTGGAATGATGAATGAACTTCAGGGTTAAAATTCTCCTTCTGGGATTCCTGCTACACCCAGGCCCACTGCCTGCGAATGCTTGTGACTTGCGCTGCGGCCGGCAGGAGGCAGCAGACCCCAGCCCCTGCCCAGGTCCAGAGCCAAAGCGGGGCTGACATCACCGGGGTCCAGATCCGGCCGCCCCCGGGATGCCGCCGCCACCTGACTGGCCACCTCCTGCCGCTGGGCGGGCCCGGGCGGGGCAGCGCGGGACGGAGGGCGGAGGGATGCCGCGCATGCGCGCGCAGGGAAGGCACCGCCCGGAACCCGCCGCCGCTGCGGAGTGCCTGGAGAGTGGGGTGCTGGCCACCTGGGCTACTTCCGGACTTCAGGTAATAAGTTTGCCCGCAGCTGGCTCTCGAGAGGACTTCTCGGGGCTGCAGGTGAGTTGTACACCTTGCAATCGAGCACTTCCTGCCCTGAATTTTCTTGCAAATTTTGGAGGGCTAGGGGCAAGGCAGGGCCCTGTCACCTGGTTTTGTACCTGGTGCTGTCATTCATTTTGCTGCATTACACGGATGCTTTGTAGCCTAAGTGCTGAGCATCTCCTTTGCGATGGGAACTTGTGATGCGTCCCACATCGCCCCCACCCCCATCCCTTTCACGTTGAAGCAGACTGCTTCTGGGTTGCTCAAATGGTCGTGCCGTGGAAAGGGAGCAAGAGGGGTGGGTGATTGCTTTTTGTCTGAATTTTCTGAGTATAGAAACTTCTTCAAGGATTGGGAATAGTTCACTAGGAGATTAAGTGACCGGCTGTCTCCTGGCTTTAGAGCTATGCTGAGGGTAGGTCAGTTACACAGCATCCTCAGATAGAGGTTGTTCCTTAGGTTCACTCATCACTCATCCATCCAGCAGGTATTTACTAAGCACCTGCCTAGGCATGCCAATGCACTTAATAATGGGACAAAGACAAAAATGAATTCAAAGTGAGCTTTACCTTCAGGGAGCTTAACTGGCTGAAAGGAGTGATAAGCCCAACATACTGACTCTATGCCAGGTAGAATAGGGGGCCCCAAGATTGCATCAGAGGAGGAAATGGGGACCTCCAAGGAGGGAGAAGAATCAGCCTTTCACAGTAGGTGGTGGGCTTACAAAGAAAATTAGGTCTCCAAATTACTACCTGATGATGAGTGATCTCTCGTAAACGTCAGATCTATCTAGGTGTTTTCCTGACTGTGTGTTGGGCAACTCAGACTGAACATGTTTCAAACAGGTCTCATCATTCCTGGTCACCTCCCTCCTTCCCCCACCACACACCTGCTGCTGTTTTAGGGGATAGCATCAAGGCTCCCCTGCCCCTCCTCTTCCAGTGGTCCAAGCAAGAGACCTAAGGTAAGTTATCTCTGACCCCCCACCCCCTTTAGTTTACATCCAGGCTTACTGATTCTACCTCCTGAGCCTCTCTCATATCTGTCCACCTCTCTCCAGCCTCATTGCCATTTCTGCGGGCCAGGCTGCAATCATCTCATGCTCAGTTTACTGCAAGAGCCTCTCAGCTTATTTCCCTGCCTCAGGTCAACACATCTCCCATTACTGCAGCCAGGAAGTGCTTCCTGGAATTAAGTCTGATTGTGGGGCTCCCTTCATTCACCCTTCACTGCCCTTGGGACAAAAACCAGACTCCTTAACATAGCAGGTCTGGCTCGTCTTTCTCACCAGCCCCATCTCTTTTCACAACCTCCTTGCAGTGCTTTCCATTTTGAAAACATGTGCTTTCTCATGCCACTAGGCCTTTGCACATGTTCTGCCTTCTGCCCACAACAGGCCCTTCCTTGCTACCCTCTTTATTTGGTTTACTCCTGCTCTCCCCAAGGTCCCAGCTGGGGACCTGCTTCCTCAGCTCCCAAGCCTGTTTAGGTGCCCATGCTTCTCCTCTTAGAGTTCATTCACCTATCGGCCTCCTCAGCTGCACTGCATTATAAGTTCTGAAAGACCAGGGCCATGCCTGAGGGCTTTTCATTGCTTCCTACCGCCTTGCACAAAGAAGGTGCTCAATGAGTAGTTGCTAAACGGTATTCAGTATACATCTAAGTTGTAATATTGTGGTTTGATTCATTGGATATCTGAGTCATAAATTCACTCTACCTCAGTTGTTTTCTCAGTGGCCTTATTACATCAAGCTTAAAAATGGGTGTAAGAGGGAAGGAGAAGAATAATCATTATTAGAGAAGCTACTGTTTGTAGAGGGCTCCGTGTGTGCCAAGCACTGCTGTATGTGCTTTACAGTATGGGCTCATTTAACTTAGTGAGGTAGATATTTTTATTATCTCCATTTTACAGAAGGAGAAACTGAGTTACACAGAGATTAAAGAGTATGTCTAATATTTACAGAGCTAGTAAGTGGTGGCATCTGGTTTGAAGCCAGGCATCCTTTGAGGAATGTGATTAACTCTTTCAGAAAGACAAAGTAGGACTGAACATGCGGTGCTCCTAGGGCTGAAGATGGTATGTCCCCAGACGGAAGGCAGTGCCGTGTGCTCACAACTTTAAGCTGTGAGGCCTAGCAGAAATGATTGATCCAGAATTTAACACTCTGAAGAACATGTTTCATTTGCATACTTCCTTTTTGTTTCTTTGGCCAGCAAACGCAGTTATGGGAGGTATTATTGCTAGTGCTTGGGGAGGAGACTTCCCTGAGTCTGAAATCTTGGTTCTGCTCTGTGACCTCGCAGATGTTGCTTGCCTTCTCTGTGCCTCAGGCTCCTCACCTGGAAAATGGGGATACTAATGGTAATATTTACTTCATAGGGTTGTGGTGATAATTCAGTGAGTTGGTACTTGTAAGACCTTAGAAGGATGCCTAGAAAATATTGAGTATTTTATATTTATGTGTGTGTGTATATAAATATATATATATATATATATAAGAATGGTGCCTAGCATGTGGTAATTGCTCATAAACATTATCCTGATTATTATGTGTTTATCCATCATCGAGTCATCAGTGGTTTTGGAACACATCAGTCTCACTGCACCACTTCTTGGGTACAGATGAGCTCCCCTGTTTTATTTACTTTTTCCCATAGATACTGAGGATTTATCAGTGTTGCCTCCTTTTCTGTGCCTCGGATTCCCTCCCCCAAGACCCTTTTTCACAGAAATTTCTAGTTTACACTCTGAGATAACCTCAGAACCCTTTTTCTGTTCTGGGTCAGTTTGTTACCTATTGCTGCATGAAATAAAAGACTGGGTCAACCTATATGACAAGCAGTTGGAAAACTGTAAAAATGCAATGAAATCTCAAACATTGTTCCTTGTATATACAGAGATAATTCCTTTCCCCATGGAGGAAATACAGATGTAACAGAGTTCAGATACAAAGCACCACAGGGACTCTTAGAGGCGCTGGTGTTAAGGGTGAGGTATGCGAGGACCAACAGCCAGCTAGTGATCAGGGTCCATGTCTCCAGCCTGTAGCCCACATACTTTTCTCCTTTACCTTGGAGAACCATGGGCAGGATTTGGCAGAACCTCTCACCCCTAGATGTATGTTTCAGCTGCTGCTATGATACACAATAGGATATCATTGTCATTCAGTTAACTTCTTGCCAGGGCTTTGTTATATTCTGTAGTGATTTGCCATTGATTAAGCACGGATGTCTCTGCCACCCCAGAAGAGGTGTCTCATAGCAAAGCCCATGACAAAGCAAGTGTTTGAAGTGAAACTGTGGTTCAATCAACAAACAAACATCTATATTACCTCTTTTCCATTCTATGGTGTGAGGAGGAGAGAGGGACAAATATCCATACAAAGATGAAAGAATTACAAGATAGAGTTGCTGAAGTCAAGGAATTTAGAGGAAGAAGAGCAGTTGGCTTCAGAACAGTTGGTTGGTGCAGGCTAGAGTGGTTAAGGAGGTTGAGAAGTGGTCAAGAACAGGGTGGGGTGCAGGGGGTGGTTGGGGTTTGTAGGTGGGAGAGAGGGGGACATTGCCAGCATACAGTGAAAAGTGAAGGTTGTGGTGGTGTCTCCAGTGAGGAGACTGGCTACCCACAGCAGGAATCTACTTGGGGCAGTGGGAGGGAAGGAAACATTGAGTGTGCAGCAGGTCTGGAAGACAAGGAAAGGGGAATCAACTAGCGTGTCCCCCGACGGGCTGGAAAGGGGTGAACACTGGGCACAGTGGCTGAGTGTTGGGTAGGTGAAGGTTGAGCTTCCCTTTTTCAGTAGAGAAATTAATTTCTGTATTTCTGGGTAATGCATATCATTGTTACATGCATTTGCTCTCCCAGACACTTTTATTTTGTAAAATAAGTCCCTTCCCCCTTGCTTTACAATTGCAGGCTTTCCGATGGACCTTGTCGGATTTGGTTATGCAGCCCTTGTGACATTTGGAGGTATTTGGGGATATAAGCGGAAAGGTGAGCCCAAGCCAGATTTTTCATCAAAATGACCTATTGGGGGTTGGTGATTGTGCTAGAGTCCACTGGGGGTTGGGAAGTAGGGCAGGAAGCTAACGATGTCCTTGAAGGGGAGGGCATGAGGACCAGTGGTGGGAGGGATTCGTGGAAGGAAGAGGGCTGGGCATGGGGAGCATTCCAACCTGGGGGTTCTGGGCCCCCCTCCACTACAGAATTCTCATTTCACCTGTCATTATCAATTGCATAGTTAATGGATTTAACCTCCTCAGGGCTACTCCCTTATTCTCAAATGAGGATATTTTTTGTTTACATAATCATAGTATCAAAAAACTGAATTATGTTGATATTGTGTGTTGCAAAGAAAAGTTTGTTGAATAAATATCATATCTGTAGTTATCTCTCCATCTCTGTCCAAAAGAAGAAAGAAAAGCCTCAGTTGATAAATTAAAGGGTTTTCATGGACAAAAGTGAAAGGTCAGGTTTTATATTTTACTTTGTTTTAATGTAGAAGTGTTTATAGTCATGGTGTCTCATATTTCTCATATATTTTTACGATTTTTTTAAAACTGAAGTATATTTTAAAGAGTGTAATATTTGTGGCATTGGTGGACTAGATTTGAGCGAAAAAGCCAGGTCTATGCAGTTATCATAGTTCCTTCCTTCCTTAGAGATTGCTAAGACTCCAAGGCCAGACGGCTCTCTGCAGGGGCTGAGGGACTGGCAGGTCAGAACAGGTTCTCTGCTATGGTTGCTGAGAGCCTGTAATTCACCTTAGATTTTTGTAGTTCTTATTTTCTCTCTCAATATGTGTAGCATCGTGGATATGTATATGATGGGGGAAATGATGGTGCTAATTTCAGACCTGTAAACAAATACATAAAAGATGATGTTTCATAATCTACTTTAAAGTAGACTCAGTATAAAATCCAGATAGGATTGTTATTGAAAAATTTTTTCATTGTCAAAGACACATTTGTCAGACCTCTACAACAGAACAGAAAAGAGCATCTGGACATTTTTGCCTGACTTTAAGAGGGGTGAGGAGAAGGGTGTGTGTGTGTGTGTGTATTGCTGCTGCAATGGTTCTTTTTAAAAATTTTTTATCCTCATCTTAGGACATTTTCCATTTTTGTTTAGATAGAGTGAGAGGGAGAGAGAGGAAGAGAGAGAGAGAAACATTGCTGTGAAAGGGACACATCGAGTGGCTGCCTTCTGCACAACCCCAACCAGGGACAGGGACAAATCTCGAAGGAGGTATGTGCCCTTGACTGGAATTGAACCCACGACTCAGTGGCCTGCGGGTTGACACTCTAACTGCTTAGCCAAACCGGCCAGGGCTGCAATGGTTCTTAACCCTGGTTGCAATCTGAATGCCTATGGATATTTTAAAAATAGAGCTACCTTGACCCTACTCCTAGGGATTCTAATCCAGCAGATTGTAAATAGAGTGAATCCCATGAAGCAAGGACAGTGTGTATCTTTAGTGTTACCAGCATGTAGCCCAGTGCACAGAAAGTGCTTGGTGTTGGTCACAGTATCCTGGAGCAGTGGGTGCATGGGTTGGGGGCTGGCTTGCTGATCTGGTCCCATTTCTCAGGACAGTCACCATTCATCCCTGAGTCATGACATCTTGATGCTGGAAGGTTTGTCAAGTATTCAGGGCAGAACCAGCACTTGCTTTGCAGAGCACTTCTCTCTCTCTACCCCTGTAAGCTAAAAATATCTCTGCATCTTATTTTTATCATCACCTCTCAGTAAAAAGATGGAGGCAAGGAGAATAGGAAGAAAAAAGAGAGGGACATAAAGAAGCTAACCGATTGCCCATGGTCACGCAATCAATGTCAAAACCACAACTACAAGGCAGACTTCCTTATTCCCTTGAATGGTGCCTAACCCCTGCATCGCTATGCTTTTGGGGTTCCTCTGCTTTGCATTTGGAATTCAGCATGAAACGGTCATCTCTTACAGACTATCCATGAATAGGCCTATGTTCAGTTTGGCTTTGTCTAGTCACATTGCCCAAGGAGGAATACACTTGAAGGTGTGTGCATTGTACTGGAGGTAATTCCTTTCGTTTTGTGATTCTCTTTCTGAGCTCATACTTTTTCCCCTCCAGGTAGTGTTCCATCTTTGATTGCTGGTCTTCTTTTTGGATTTTTGGCTGGCTATGGAGCTTACCGTGTCTCCAATGACAGGCGAGATGTAAAACTGTCTCTGTGTAAGTAAGGCATTTTTCCCAGTTATAGAGAATCAAACCTGCGGGTTGGCTGATAGGATGCTTCTGAAATGAATATTATTACTTAGTCTGTCATTATTTATCTCCAGGCGTCAAATTTCCCCAAACAAAATGCTACAAAATAAAGAAGTCAACCTTCTTCTAAATACTCAAATAGTATTATTTTATTAATCAGGTCTTAGTTTAAAAAAATAATTATTTTCATTACATTCAGTTACCTAAACATTGTTGATTGTCTCCTATGGGCCCAGGTACACTGCCCAGTATTGCTGAGGAAAGTTGAATAAGAAAACAGTCCTAGTTTCCTCGGAGTATTCTATAAATAGAAATTTACGTTAGAAAAGAAGTGTTGGTTCATGCATTGGTTTGTTTCTCAGTTACAGCTTTCTTGCTGGCCACCATAATGGGTGTGCGGTTTAAGAGATCCAAGAAAATAATGCCAGCAGGGCTGGTTGCAGGCTTAAGGTAAGAAAAACTGCTTTGATTTATATTTCCCTCTACCATCACTTTGAAGGACTGAATTTTTGGCAGAAGTCAGTTTTTTTTATTTTTTTTATCCTCACCCGAGGATATTTTTCCATTTTTTGTACAGATAGAGTGGGAGGGAGAGAGAGGAAGGGAGAGAGAGAGAAACATCGACGTGAAGGGACACATCGAGTGGCTGCCACCCGCACGACCAACCAGGGCCGGGGACAAACTGCAACCGAAGTACGTGCCCTTAGCGGGAACCGAACCCGGGTCTCTCCGGACCGCAGGCCGACGCTCTAACCACTGAGCCAAACTGGCCAGGGCCAGAAGTCAGTTTTAATTTGAAATGTCAAAGTAACTTTTTTTTTTTTTTTTACAATAAACATGACTGTGAACCCTTAAAATATCATGCCTTCATCAGTCTTTGGTATTGATGTGCACATGAGCATTTTTATTGAATACACTTAGTATTACCATAGTATTTGATCACATGTACACTTTACCCTCTTCAGAATCAAGAACTCAATTAAGCTTCATTTCTTCCTCCAGTTTTACCAAGCTGATGCAGTAAATATATTCATTTATTTTGATACTCATACTCTCGTAGAGAGTTGGACAGAGTGACAGTCTACTGGTTACTTTGAGTTTTTAAGGAAGAAAACCATATTTTAAAAAAATAGATCAGCAGGGAGCCTCAAGTTTCACTTCATTTCACCCCAGTAATTCCATCCATGAGATTAAGCATGTTTCCAAGTAACAGTTTATAGGTCCATTTTTAATTCTTCCTGGAAGCTGCCTGTATATATTGAAAGCCATAAACATGCCCATTTCCTTTTATACACATTTTTGCTTTCTGGAATTTATTTTGCAGAAATAATGAGATGCATAGAATGACTGATGTTTATTGTAACTTTGTTTCTAATGCAAAACATGATAAACTGAAAAATTAGAAACAGTCTAAAAATTCACTGGTAAGGAAATGTTTTGTCCACTTACTGGGATGTTGAGCCTGCATCACATATCATGTTTTCAAAACTATTTAGTGGCACTGGAAAACCTTAGTAACATAGGAAGATGTTTTAAAAAGGATTTAAAAACACAAATATATTGTGATCTCAATTTTAAAAAGTATGTACAGAAAAAACCAAGATCGAAAGAGAAATAACCTCAAATTGGTAGAGTGTGTCTCTGGGTGGCAGTAGGAATAATTTTCTCCTTCTGCTCTGTAGAATTTTCTGGTGTGACTATGTTTATATTCAGGATTTGGGGAGAAAAGTGTGATTTTCTTTTTTTTTTTTGTGGTACGTGCCCCTTGCGGGAACCGAACCCAGAACTCTTTGGTCCGCAGGCCGACGCTCAACTGCTGAGCCAAACTGGCCAGGGTGAGGAAAGTGTGATTATGACTGCTTTTCCACTTTAGGCCTGTCTAAAATGATACTTGTTGGTGGAAAGAATCAGAAGTAGGGTTTATGAGTCGAAGACAAGACCCCAAAGATGAGAAATGCCTGCTGCTACCACCCTTCCAGCTGCTCTCTTTTGAAAAGCACCGAGATGTGTAGTAGATTGATTTCCCTCTTTTCTGGAAATGACAGTCAGTAGTTTCACTTCTAATAGTGTAAGGAAAACAAATAAATACAACATGTTCATATTTTTAAAAAGACAAGAGTCCAATCAATGAAAAGTAGCTGAGATGGTAATAACTCCTCAAAACTGGTTCTTGATTTTTTTCAATGTGCTTAACTTGACAAGCTTTCAGAAGGTTTGTGTTTTTTTTAGAAATCTTTCTCTAATAAAGCTTCATCCCAGATTTTAAGGACAGCAGGTTCTGATTTTTTCATTCATTCAGTGAACGTTTTTAAGCGGCTAATTCAGTCATGTCTGGGAATTTGGAACATGGGTAATGAGATCACCCCTGCTCCAAGGAGTGAAGTTGGAGAGAAGCCTGGGAGCCAGAGTTGAGTCACATCACAGTTCAGGGGAGCGCGGGCCCCTTTCCACACATGAGTGACCCTCCTCTGCCTTTCTTTCCATCCAGCCTTATGATGATATTGAGACTTGTCCTACTGCTGCTCTGAGAGTCTGGAGGAACTGAAAACTAAATTGATGTCGTTCTACACTAACGGGCAGAGCACACTCTTGGAACTCAAAAGATAAACTTCAATGTGGAATGTTAAGTGTCTTATTTAATATTAGAAACTAAAGAAACACTGTCACCTCTGATAGGAACACTAGTCTAAGGTGGTGGTGTTGTTTTCTCAAAAATTTGTTTTCTAATTGTCAGGTACTGTTTTCATTAAAGGTATTTAATAGCTCAGCCCGAGTGGCTCAGTTAGTTAAGCATCATCCAGTGCACCAAAAGGTTACCAGTTTGATTCCCAGTCAGGGCCCAGGCCCAGGTGGCGGGTTTGATCCTCAGTCAGGGCGAGTATGAAGGAAACTGAACGATGTTTCTCTTTCTCTCTCCCTCCCTCTCTCTTTCTAAGCATATCTTCACGTGAGGATTAAAAAAAATGTTTAATAAATTGTGATACACTTTTAATTTGCTGTGCTTAGTTTTATGTATGTGGCATTTTTCGACAATGCCAAATACTCATCTGGAGTGAGTTTAAATGAAACTGCAGCATATCAGGTAATGGAATGCCTTAAGTGGATTTGACAAAATGCTCAGGTATCTATATGTCATTTGTATTATATTAGAAATGATATATTTTTCACTTTAATTGTGTTGCTGCCAGCGGTATTTTTTCTTTTAAAAAATCCATCCTTAGCACACACTATATTAAAAGGATAATCAGTATTCAAATAAAAGATGTTCTGTTTTAAACCTGTTTTTGTTTTCATTTTAGTGTCTTCTCTATATACTCAAATCATCTTTGACATTTAAATGATCAATTATTAATGGAAGATGTTGGGAAGGAGGGTTATTTAAGCTAAAACTTCTCCTTAGGAGCAGATATTCATTCCCTTTCTCTCTCTCCTCTCTTAAACAGTAATCATTCTGAAACAAAAATAATTTTGTCTGAAATCACCACTTTGTTTTTAGGCATAGTTATGACTTTTAATAAAGGCCCCAGACTGAACATCAGTCCCAGCCCAATTCTCCCACTGATGGTTGTGCATTCTTTGGAAGGACAGTGCCTGTCTCTGAAACACAATTTTGAATCCTTAAGGAGGAATTTGGACTAAGTGATTGACAAGACACATTAGAGCTCTAAGAATCTGCAATTTTGGTCCCGTTGGCTTTGAGCAATGGTGTCAGATCTCAAACCCGCCTTTGTTATTATTTTATTTTATTGAGGTAACATTGGTTAATGACATTCTATAGATTTCAGGTGTATAACATTATAATTTGGATTTTAACAACTGAACTTGTTTGCTTAAAAGAAAGTACTGGCTTCTTCAGACAAGTGGTATCAAACTGAACTCTGAGCAAGAAGTATGAACAGAATAACACCTCCTACCAGCTTTTCCCAGCTCGTTCCTTTCATAACTCCTTCGCATGTGTCTTTTACTGACGTCAAGGGAAATTATAAGAAGGCTCAACAGACCTTACAAACACTGACCACAATTCTCTCTACCTATTTGCAGAAAAGGAGGGATTAGAAGCAATTATTGTGCACTTATCTCATTCTACCCAGAAGAACATAGCTTTTTCTAAGTAGTGAATTTCATAGCGTTCAAGTGTGCCTTTGAAGTAAAAATTTAAAAATCCGTTGTTTAAAGTGTATATGAATAAAAGGCACAACATACAACAGTAACTGCACCCCACTCCTTTATTCTCAGCCTAGCATTCTGCAATTGTATGCCCCGTCATGCTGGCACCGTGCCTCCATTCTGCTTTGTCTGCTGAAACTGGGTCTTAGTAATGTGGGCTTGTGGGTAATTTAAAATAAAGAATAAGAATTTTCCCCTTTAAAAAAGTCACTGTATCCCTGGCTAGTGTGACTCAGTTGGTTGGACATCGTCCTCTGTAACAAGGGGTTGCCGGTTGAATTTCCAATCGGCATATACCCAGGTTGTGGGCTTGATCCCTGGTATGGGGCGTACAGGAGGCAGCTAAGTGATGTTCCTCTATCCTTCGCCCTAAAAAAAAAAAATCAGTAAAAAAAATATATTTTTTAAAGTCAGTCTAGTAACCCAGCACACAGTGCATTTCATGTGTCCTTGGTTACTGAGTACATCTTTTCTGGTTTATGAAAATCTTTATGTCTTTCTTATGACATAAAGTAAGGTTTGCTTTGCTCCCATAGAATTCTGGTACACGTTGGTCTGATTTGGAAAGGCCTGTGCTTCAGTCTCCTTACAGGAGGATCCTTGACTCTGGGAACTAAATTGCTGCTAACAGTGGAAAATGATGCTTTATAAAATAATCAGGTGCTAGCCAGATAAGCAACCAAGTTAAGTTGTTTCAACTATATTGGAAAAAAATTTAAGCAAAATCCATACTGTCTTTAAGAAATTCCAATGGCTGACTTATCATGGTTTCTAGAGAAGATGGTGGCGGGCAGTACTGGAGCGAGGGTGAGTGTGTGGGAGAGTGAGCGAATGTGAGACAGAGTGTGAGTGAATGTGAGTGTGGACGACCAACCTGGAGCAGTGCAGAAACGCGGGGCAGAAGGTTCCTGTGCTGTGGACAGGAGCAGCTGCCTACCGCAGTAAGCAGCACGACAGTGAGCTTCTCCCTGTGCCAGCGGGAGGCCCCACCGTTTTTTAGGATACCTGGTCTTCACTGGGAGGAGGCAGTGGGGAGCAGCTAGGGCTGAGCAACCTGAGTCCACCAGAGCAGCTTGCACCATCGGTCCAGTGGACCCCGCTGTGTCTATGTGGACCAGAACACAGTAGCAGCGCTAAAACCACATAGGAGCTGAGCACCATCACCATAGCAGAAGCCTGATCAGAGCCCACCACCATCCCCCACAGCAGCAGTGACTGTGGGAGTGGAGCCCCACTCTCAAGAGCAGCGGAGGCTCCTGGAGGCTCGCAGAGGCTTGGGAGCTGAGACACCCCCCCAACAGCAGCTGAGGCTTGGGAGTGGACATCCACCCCCAGGCAGCAGCAGCTCAGATTGGCAGCTGAGGCCCATCCCCAGTGGCAGCCTCAGCAGAGGCTGATCTGGAGCAGTGCCCCACTCTAAGCAGCAGGTAGTGGAGAACTGCCACTGACAACTGCAGCAGCAGATTTGGAGTGGAGACCCTCCCCCAGGCAGCAGCAAAGTTCTAGGAGTGGAGCATCCTCAGCCCCCAACAGCATCAGAAGATTGGGGCCTGAGAGCACCCCCTGGCAACAAGAGCACCAGTGCAAACCAGGAGCTGACACTCACCTCCAGCAGCGACTGATAAGGAGCTGAGGCCCACCAAGCAGCAGGATACAGCAGTAGCACATCAGCGGGACCCACACACATCAGCAGCATGCCAACTGGACCCATAAACCCCAGAAGAATACCAGGTGGACCTCACACATCCCAGCAGCACACTAGGAGGACCCCACACATCCCAGAAGAACACCAGAAAAACCAATGCACCCCAGAAGCACACCAGCAGAACCCGTGCACCCCAGCCATGTACCAATAAAACCCACACACCCCAGCAGCACACCAGTGGGACCCCACACACCCCAAAAGCATACCTGTGGGACCCACGAACTCCAGCAGTGCACCAGCTGGATCTACACACCCCAGGCTGCAGCAGCACAGATCGGCAGCTGAGACCCATCTACATTGTAACATCCCTCACCAGGCCTAGAACTACCAGATTGCTAAAACGGCGAGACGAAGAAACAACACCCAAATAAAAGAAAAAGAAGAATCACCAGAAAAGGAGCTACACAAAATGGAAGAAAGCAACTTGTCAGATAAAGAATTCAAAGCAATGATTTTAAGGGTGCTCAAAAAATTTGGTGAGAACTACAAGCAACTTAACAAGAATTTGGCAGAACTCACTGGGAACTACTTCAGCTTAAAAAAAGAGGTAGAAGCTATGCAGAAAAATTAAGAGGAAATAAAGAATGACATAGCTGTTATGAAAAATACCTTAGAAGGGTTCAATAGTAGATTAGAAGAAACTGAAGACTGAATCAGTGACTTAGAAGACAAAGTAGAAAAAAACACCCAAGTAGAGCAGCAAATGGGAAAATAAATTTAAAAGCAGGGGGAAACTTTAAGGGAGCTTTTGGATGAGAAAAAATGTAACAACATTCGCATTATAGGGGTACCGGAAGGAGAAGAATCAGAGAAAGGAATAGAGAACCTGTTTGAAGAAATAATGTTGGAAAACTTCCCTAAACTGGTGAAGGAAAAAGTCACACAAGTCCAGGAAACACAAAAGGTCCCAAGCAAGATGAACCTCAAAAGATCCACAGCTAGACACATCATAATAAAAATGGCAAACATTAAAGACAAAGAAAGAATCTTAAAGGAAGCGAGAGACAAAGTTACCTACAAGGGAGCTCCCATTAGACTGTCAGCTGATTCCACAATAGAAACACTGCAGGCCAGAAGGGAGTGGCATGAAGTGTACAAAGTAATGTGAGGAAAGGATTTGAATCCAAGACTACTCTATCCAGCAAGGCTATCATTCAAAATTGAAGAAGAAATAAAGAGCTTCACAGACAAAAAAAAAAAAAAAGCTAAAGGAATTTACTACCACCAAACCAGCACTGCAAGAAATGCTGAAGGGACTGTTGTAAGAAGAAGAAACAGAGAGACATAAAATAAAAATGGTGACTAATAAGTATCTATCAGTAATAACCTTAAATGTAAATGGCTTTAATGCTCCAATGAAAAGACATAGGGTAGCTGATTGGATTACAAAACATGATCCATATAGATGCTGTCTACAAGAGACCCATATCACAATGAAAGACTCACACAGAATGAAAGAGAAGAGATGGAAAAAATTTCCAAGCAAATGGAAATTAAAAAAAAAAAAAAAAAAAAAAGCTGGTGTAGCAATACTCATATCTGACAAGATAGACTTGAAAACAAGGGCCATAATAAGAGACAGAGAGGTCACTACATAATATTAAAAGGATCAATCCAACAAGAGGATACAACCCTGGTAAACATATACACACCAAATATGGGAGCACCAAAATATATTAAAAAACTTCTGGAGGACTTCAAGGGAGAGATCAATAGCAACAAGATCATAGTGGGTGACATTAACACCTCACTGATACCACTGGATAGATCTTCTACACAAAACATTAACAAAGACATAGAGTCCTTAAATGACGAACTAGATCAGACTTAAATGATATTTAAGTCATATCAAAGCTGCAAAATGTACATTCTTCTCAAGTGTACATGGGACACTCTCAAAGGTAGATGACATGTTAGGATACAAACTAAGTCTCTACAAAATAAAGAAGTTTG